TTTTTTTTTTTTTTTTTAAATCTTAGATTAATTATCTTAGAGTATACCTGAACTATTTATAGATTAGACAATTGTGCTTAATTTTTTGGACATGAGTGTATATAAAAGGTGTAAAAATCAAAATATTCTATTACTAATTCTTATTTTTGCCTTTTAATATTTCAATAACATAAATAAGAAGATCAAAAAATTAAAAAAAAAATGTATTTTTTAATTACCATATATCAAATTAAAAATCTAACTATACTTTTATATTTATAACATTTTTCTTTTTTAATTTAGTAGAATAACGAGTCAAATATTTTAACAGAATTCATAATACTTTTATATGATATATCATTTATTCATAAGTATTTCAGAATAAATATAAGTAATGTGTAATGGGTCTACTAAGTATAAGAGAATATCTTTAATTAAAAATGTTTAAAACATGAATTAACAAATAGACTATATGGAATAAGTTAAAACAATGTTTTGTTTCTTACTTTTACTATGAAAAAATTTATTAAAAATTGGCCTAATTATAAAATTTTGTAATAATTATTTTATTAACTTTGTAATTAATGTTTAAAAATGAATAAAAACAATGATTATTGTATAACTTTTCATTAGTTATTGAGAAAACAGTGATATATCAGTTTTAATCATGATTCACACTTTACATTATTTACTATTATTATATTATTTTTATTTAATTAATAATCTCTAAAATTATTTTCGACTTTTAAATGCTTACATTATATATAGAGAACTTACATGAACGTCATCTCACATCAGTTATTATTTTTAAATCGATTTTTCTGATATGGTGCCAGGTGTAATCATTCTTATATTATAGATTTTCTATGTAATTTATATACTAAGATTGAAGAAATCGAATTTGACGACAGACAGACATGAAGGAAATTTATAATATGCCAAATAAATGTAATCTCATCAGCAGCTGTGGCAGAAAATAAAATGAAGAAACGTTAGATAAGTTGAGAAAAAAATGCAGGGATGTGGTACTGTTAAATCGGGAGAAGGAGCTAAGAAATTTGATATGGAATGTGGTTGTATGTAACCTTCTGTAAGCATGATAATTCTAAGAATTTTTAAATGAGACATCGCGGTTAGCAAGATTCATGGATGAAATCGGAGAGAAAAAAAAGGATGTGATGCGTGTTAAGTCCACGGTTTATAGTTTTTTAAATAAGTATTTTTACTCACAAGTATTTTTTTACAGTCAAATCTATTTTAAAAATAGTTATATTCACTATGATCAAGTCGTTATATTCATTATTTGTTTCCATGGTATTGTTCTTAATTACGTATTCATGTTTATTTTTCTGTAATTATCTAATTACATATAATTCTTTCTAAATAAATTTAAATCGATGTAATTTCTTTAAATTTAACCAAAACCAAACCAAACGTAATGTCTTTGAGTTCAGCTACACACTAATTACTCGTCAGTCGTACACGTTTTAAAGGAATGTAATACGAGAAAATAGAGAAGAGTGAGAGGGAAACACACCTGCGAAAACAAACACAGCTGGAGAAGAGAGATTAGAACATCAAGATTTATCTAAAATTACTCTTTGTTATTAAAACTTTACTACAGTAATAAATTGAAAATATGTGTATAAGCTTATTTAATTTATGATATTTACGACTGTTTTTTTAAACCTTTGTATATTAATTACATTAAATTTATAATTTTTCTATATCTTGTATTACTACTAGTATATTAATATACAGTACTGTAGATATATCTAATCACTTTAATATATTTTTAATAGAATAATCGTTGATTGTATTCATTTGTACAATATAATAATGCTAGCATTGAAATTTCTAATGTTGTTATTATTTTAAATAGCATATGCTTAAACAAAAATATCCGAAGTACAGTATCTTATTAATATTTATAACAGCTGGGAAAGTAACAAGATAATGCAAAATTATATAAGTTATTAATATTATAATAGAAAATTAAATGTGTAGGCCTAGAAAAGTTTAAATTCTAATTAAAATAATTTATTTTCGTTTCGTAAAACTTAAAATAAAATAAGATTATATAAGAAACTAGCAGATGATCCCGGCATTATTGGAGAAAAAATAGCTGAAAAAGTTAAGATTATTCGATTATTTCGTACTTCTAATCCTTATATTATATTATAGTGTTTGATTTATAATTACAATATCTTGCGTAAGGGTTTATCACACCAAGTATAAATACTTGATGTGATAAACCACACCAAGTTATATAAATCAAATACTATACTATAACGAACATTAAAACCAAAACCATATAAAGAGTTTGGTTATTTTAGCTTACGTGAGCGATCTGCCCACAAGATATACGGTACTTTTATGTAAATCTGGATCCTATTTGGCTATTACTAACGTGAAGAAAACCCGGAAAACAGTTTTCCGGGTAACAGTACTAACAGGTTCCATGAACGAACCCACGACAAACTGACACCAGAGTTCGATGATTTTATGCACTCGGCTACTGGAATGCACTTATTAGAATTAATTAAGAAAGTCCCGTTCAGAAATGAAAAAAATCCGAGTGGCAAGTGCTACGTGTTACCTATTGGCGTAATGGCGAGCTTCAATTTTTAATCATACAGTATACGCTCGCCACGTCAAATTATTAGTGGCTTTCCCCTGTACATCATACTTTTCTCTTAACAATAAAGTCCCCATTGTGGGTCTAATAATAGATATGATTAAAAAAAGTTCTGTTAGTGGCCATAGGGTGAAAAGTGTTTAATAAAAGAAAAGATTGTAGATATGAATTTCCTGGATTATATATCTATTGATAATATGATCGCTTTGGACTTCACATTTTCCTGAAGTTTATAAATAAAAACACAATATTTTTCAACGTTAAACAAAAATGAATTAACAAGTAGTAAATACCACATCCTTAAATTTAAAGTAAGTAAATTAATATTTGATAAATTATGCAAAATATTGGCAAAAGCAATTGTTGTACGTTTACAATTATTACAACAATAATAAACTTATTATTTATTGAAAACAATTGACATCAGAAGAATTAAGAAAAGTTGAAGGAAAATGTCTTCAAAAGTAGGAAGAACGTTTAGCCAAAATTCATTAAATATTATGAAAAAAATGAAAGATTCAGGCATATTTTGTGATGTAATCCTTAAGACAGAAGGAGAAAAGTTTCCAGTTCATAAATGCATCATGGCTGCTAATTCCTACTTTTTTGAAATATTATTCATCAATACAACGGATGGAGATAAAAGAAAAGAAGTTCCATTAGAAGATATCGACAAAGAAACCCTTCAACACATCATAGATTATCTTTATTGTGGAAAAATTGAACTGAACTCAGAAAATGTTCAAAAAATTTTTGTTGCCGCTGATGAGTATTTGTTCTCAGAATTAATGGAGGAATGTTGTTCCTATATGATACATCATTTAGATTCGAAAAATTGCATTTCTATTAAAAATATAGGAAAATATTATAGAAATATCACCTTAGAAAAATCGGCTCATCAGTATTTAATGAAAAATTATGTTGAAGTCTCAAGTCAGAATGAAGAATTGATGGAAATGACAACCGAAGAACTGATAAACGTCTTGAATTGTGAAGAATTAAATGTTAAAGAAGAAGAATTAGTTTGGGATACTGTATTGCGATGGATAAACATAAATCCACAAGAGAGGAAGAAACATATGCCTGATTTATTGAAATGCATACGTCTAGGGCTTCTCGATTCTGATTTTTTCATGAGAACTGTGAAAACACATCCATACGTCACAGAAAACGAAGATTGTTATCCTCTTATAACGGAAACATTAAAATTTCTAAACGATTTGGAAACCATAAGCCAGAGATCCGAAGAAATTCTAACCCCAGACTTGGCTCTGCCTCGCATCCCTCACGAAATAATTTTTGCTATAGGGGGATGGAGTTCTGGTTCTCCAACCGATTACATCGAGACATACGATAGCAGAGCAGACAGATGGGTAAAGATGAATGAAGTTGATCCTGCTGGTCCAAGAGCTTATCACAGATGTGCAGTAATAGATCATAATATCTACATAATTGGTGGATTTGACGGAACGAATCATTATAGCGGATGCCGCTGTTTAGATACCATCGAAAAACAGTGGAAAGAGATTGCTCCGATGCATTGCAGACGATGCTATGTGAGTGTAGCTGTACTAGACAATCTTATATACGCTATGGGTGGATATAATGGGATGCATCGTCACAATACCGCCGAGAGATACGATCGTAGAACAAATCAGTGGACGATGATGGCACCAATGCATATGCAACGAAGCGATGCCGATGCCACAACTCTAGGCGGTTTCATTTATATCATCGGTGGTTTTACAGGACAACAGTGCCTTGATTCGGCCGAACGTTACAACCCGCAATCTAATCAATGGACTCTAATTTCAAATATGAGCAGCCGAAGAAGTGGTGTATCTTGCATCGCTTTCAACGATTGCGTTTATACTCTGGGTGGATTCAATGGCTTGGAAAGATTACAAACTGTTGAGAAGTACAATCCTCGTAATGATACGTGGTCAGAAGTACCCGATATGGCAACATCACGAAGTAACTTTGCTGTAGAAGTTATCGACGATATGATATTTGCCATCGGGGGATATAACGGAGAGAGTATCATATGTCGAGTCGAGTGTTACAGCGAAGCAACTAATCAGTGGTACGAAGCAACCGACATGAACATTTTTCGTTCGGCATTAGCTGCTTGCAGAATAAATCAGATACCTAATATCACTGATTATATCCATAAATATCGAGAAAAACTGCTAGAAGAGAAAAGACAAAGACTTCTAGAATTGAGAGAAATGGAAACAGAACTAGATTAGTGGACAAATAAAAAAAGACGAGTAGTGAAAAATTGACAAAATATCTATCCAATAAAGTATTGTTTTGGAAATTAATGAGATTATCTAAATTCTCGCATAAATAACGTTTAAGTCTTCTGTTTAAGAAGAAAAACATTTAAAATTTTCATTTTTACATGCAATTGTCAATCTACTTTATCAGATTAAATAAAAGTATAAACCGCATGTTTGACGACTTTTTATTTAAATATTGATACTTTAATACTTTAATTCATAGAAGAAGGTAAAATTTGAAATTTGAATATTCTTTGGATTAAAAATTTTATAGACATATAAAATTTGGACATTTTTAATGTAAAGAATTGGCAGTTATGAGGTTTTTATTTACTTAATGATTACTATTATTACATGGCTATATAAATGTACAATTCTCACGATTAGCGGACCACCAATGGCCGAGTGAATAAAACAATTGAACACAGGTAGTTAGTTGCAGGTTCGTTCCTAATCAACGAGTTGGCCACGTGGTGTTTTTCGGGTATTCTCTTACATATCTAAAAAGGAGCCAATTTCTCTTAGAAAATCCTCGTGAAAAATACCTTTGCTTGATGGATCACCCATGAGTTGCATTGCCTTATAACTTAATTAATAAACATAAACCATGAATCCTATCATCGCAATTAGTATGATTTCCTTACAAATAAGACACCTGTATTCAAAAAATGACTTAATTTTAAAATATTTTCTTGTTTTGATTGTTTTAACGCGCAATGACTATAAATTAAATGCAGTATAATGGAAATAGTCGGCGGAATAAATTTCAACGCGTTTATCACTGATAAAAACATGAACATCGTAAAAAGAGACCAGTTTGATAATGATTTTATGTATCTTGATCTAAAGCGGAAATATGCTTAATAACAGGGCACTGAGTTCCACGTTTATGTAAGAGGTTGCTATTACTACAAGAAAATGCAGAAATGAAGTTTTGAAATCCCTTGTAAGATTTTTCTGGAGTGTCATGGTGCAGATTTCATTCTGATAGATGAAAATATTCACATACATAAGTCTGAACTCATCAGTGACTTTCTTTACAGTGAAGAAATTCGTCGCATGAATGGATGGCAAGATCTTCAGACCTAAATCGCATAGAACATGTGCGGGATGCTCCATGAAGACGAATTGCATCTCATCAGCTTCCACCAAGAACACTGCAGAAATTTAAGAATGGACTTTGCTCTCGTAGAACTAATAAACATTACAATCAGCGTGAGCAATCGCTATGCAGCATGTGTGCGATTAGAATGCAACCACACTCCACATTAATTATTTTCTATGCAAAAGGATACAATGTTTAGTAACACGGTGCTCTTTAACTACGCGTTATCTCTGCTCATTAAAAAATTACAACATAAGTGACATAGAAAATTATTTTCAAATTTAACAAGAAAAGTCTCATCCAATTCTCTATTCATGACTTCCTATGTAACTACATTAAAAACATTAAGGTAACTTCAGTGTCTTTGGAATGGAAAGGATGCAAAGGACTTTTGACTCACACTGTATATATAATGTATTAAATATTGATATACTGTAAAATGTTTTTGCAGACAATAATAATTTTATAATTTTAGAATTGTTGCTAATCGTATATACTTAATATTCGAAAAATAATTCATTAAACAATTAATTTAACACTTTTAAAGGACCCGTTAGTAAAATCAAAACAATAAATTGTCTTCGTTTTAAAATATAAAACTAAAATAATCTGATAACAAAATTTTGAATAGTTTATTTGATTTTATAATTCAAATAAATTCATCAAAATAATTAAATTATCCTGAAAATATTCTTATTTTAAAATATTTTAATGCAAATTTTTAAATGTCAATATACTTTTTTTACAGTAACAATCTGATTTAAATAAAATTTTTATACATTTTTTATATAAATATGATATTTTTAATTGTTTACATTATATATACAGAATTTTACAGGAGAAAAAAATGAATTTGTATACGATTTAAAAAAAATTATGCTATTTATTGGCATCTTTACAGATTTCATTAGTAAGTAATATTAAATCATTGGTTTCTTCTCGTAGATATTCGGAGGATGCAGAAGGTTGCAAAACTTCAGGATCGATGATGGAAGATAATGTGTTCATCATGAGGTATTCGTTATGATATGATGTTAAATCGTCTTTGTTGTTAAATGATTGAGGATTGAGAGCTTGAGAAAATATAAAATATTAAAATTTATATCAGTTTAAAATATTATTATAGTAATTGTAGAATAATTCTAACTATTTTAAAATTTTATATAGCCTATATATGTATAAAAATAAGGTGATTGAAGTAGAAAGCTGGCCATCATATATTATGAGTTTAACATACGTCAAACACTTAAATGGCCAGGTTTTATCTCAATCACCTTAAATTATTTTAAATTTTATCAAAATTTTCTCTATGTTATTAATAAGAAAATATAATTTTAATATATTATAATAAAATAATTCAGTAAAACTAATACTGTAGCATCTTTTTTTTTAGTTTTTTTTTTCTTTAAATGTATAATGAAAAATAATAAATAAATAAATTGATAGAAGTGAGTAAGTAATGATGCATAGAAGAAAAGTATTTAATAAACATTTGTCCTACTTGTTTTCTATGCTGAATTCTATATTCAATAACGCAATATAAAATTGTTCACTATTTTAGGTAAAAATAGCTTATATAATGATTATATTGCTTACATTTTTGCAAGCAAAATGATAATTTTCCAATTCATGCATTTGTATAGTTTCATCAACCATTTGTCTATTAAAATGCAAAAGAAAATAATTAATTACGAACTTTACGAATAGTTGTAGTCCACATCATTCCATATTCTTAAGAGAAAAATCTAAGATAGCGATACATACCTTCAGAAGAGATATAATCCGTATCCTGTTTTATAAAATTAGTTTTAATTATTTTATTAGATAGGCCGAATTTAATTTAACATTTAAATAAAATTATAAACTTACGAAATTTAACGTAAAACTATTTAAATTGTATTCTGTATGTTGGCGATAATCGGAATCATTCTCATCCTTTATTTGTGGATATGGAAGAACGTATTCATACTGAATGTTTTTCTCGTTGTTATTTAAATTACTACATTCATTACTCATCCCGTTCAAAGTAGGGGGATTGTTAATACACGAGAGATTGAGGTGTTCTTCTGTTGGTAAAATACTTTCGAAATCCGAAACCATTGTTGTCGGTAATTGTGACGTATTATCTGATAAACGGATTAATTCTGAAAATATTACGATTATATTTTGATTATTCAATTTTTTTAATGTTATATTAACGTATCTATCTGATATCTCTTACCCTCAATATTTTTTAGACGATATCTTCTATATGGCATTGAATTAGAAACTTTGCCTAAAAATTCTATTTTGTTTGATAGTCTACAAAATGCAGAACGAAGTCTTCCTTTAGCATTAGTCCAATATCCATGCTTATTTGGTTTATAATTACCTTTCTTTTTGTCCCATTCCTATAATAAAAAAAAAAGGGGGAATTAAAAATGGAATAGTTATTTTTTAGAACTACAGATGGCGATAAAAGTTAGAAGAATTTGTAAAACCTTTATATTTTACAGATTTATTTTAATTAAAATAATTATTAACTTATTTTTAAACAGCAATTTTAAAAACATTTTAATTAATAATAAATACTGATCTTACCGCGAAAACAATGAAATCTGTTTCGTTCCATTTTCTTCTCGATTTATGAGGCCAAAACATTACGAATGTTCCCGTATTTCTATTTTCCCATTTTAATGCATGACCAAAACTTTTGTCTTCCAGATTTGGAAAAATAAAATCTTCAATCAAAGATATTTTTCTAGATATCTGAAAATTAAATACTAATATACTTAGTGTCCTTGCGCGTACAGTAAACCCCCTATAACACTGTAGATAATTCCGTGTTATATGAATTCCGTATTGTACGAGTCACTTAGATTTTACAAATACGTGAGCCGGGCTGTGAACGGCTCACGTATTTGTAAAATCTAAGTGATTCGTACAACACGGAATTCATATAAAACAGAATTATCAACAGTGTTATAGGAGGATCGACTGTACTTATATACTATACAGTACATGAATAAGATTTTAGTTATTTATAACTTTTCTAAAATTTTCTGTATTTTTATAATGTAAAATTTCTCTATAAGGTAATCTATATTTGTAAATTTAAGCTTTCATTACACCAATGTATAAAAGTAACTATGTTAAATAATATATTTATATATATAATATGTAAATAAAAGTAAGTTAATAATAAGCTGAAATTGTTTATAATCTGAAAAATTTGATCCAAGTTCTTATAATACTTTGAAGAAAAGTTTTATGACTTGATATTAGTTAAGTTAAAAGTTAGTTTAAAGGATTTATGGAGCAGTGTTTACTAAATTTAAAAAAATATATAGGATTATAATGTTTAAACATAAAAAAAAATACCGTCGATTTGATGTGTAAAATATTAAAAATGTTTATTCTAGGTAAACACTAAATATATACCGAGATGAGTTTCTATTATTACCTCAATGAAACAATACGACCATACCCTTAACAACTGCTCTCTGCAATATAATGCACTACTACTTTCTTGTAACTTCTAACCTTAGTTTATTTTTACCTTAGAGCGTTAAATAATAAAATAAATACAAACTGAGGTATTATTTTTAAAAATTTACATCACTAAAACATAAAACCTAGAATTTTACTATGTATATATATTGGTTATATTAATATAATTTTAAAGAAGAAAAAAAATTACACTTACCTTAAACATCATTAGTTATTAACAACATTAATCTAAATTATGATATCGTTTTAATCAACAAAAAACCGCAAATGGTATTTATATTTACCCATGATGTCATAAATTTTATATTTTTACTTTTAGTTTAATTTAAGTAAGAAGTTAAAATTGAATTAAAAGTGGATCTAAATCATAAATTTAATTTAGTTGACAACATTTTTTTATTATTATTATTATTTACTGTATTTGTGTTATCATTAAAATATGCTAAAAGTAGTGTTAAAACTGTGTGTTTTTATTTAATTAAATTTTTATTTCCTTTTTAAATTTAAAAATTAAAACTAGACTCGATTTATTATGATCCATTTCGCAAAATGTCCCAATTATATAATATATCAAAATTATGATAAAGTGAGCGATCAATCAGGGATAAATAGTGGGGGTAATTGATAATTGAGACCTTTAAAAAAAATTATATAGGTCTAACTTGCTAACGATGTCATATTAAAACAATGTTGTCCTCAATATGAAAAAAAAATGACACTGCAGATCTTCAGTAGTTAGTTATAATATACCAATACCATTGTCTTTTTTGTTTGTTTGGAAGTATTAATATTTACTTTTAACGTTTCCATATGTGTTCGTGTAAAAAAGACGAATTGCAAGAGTAGAAAAAAATATTTTTTCGGAGGCGACGACATGCACGCTGGCCAGTTTTTATACAGTTTAAGGTCGACACAGTCGGAGATGTCATCTGAAAGAAAGTAAAAACCGGTTCGCCTTATGTACCCCATTCTGTCACTCTTACTTATTCAGCCATTCATAAAATACGTAATATATATTGAATTTTCTACTTAAACTATAATATATTATATTGAAATTGTTAACCTTATGAATTTACAGTTAAAAATTTGATTCAACTAAAGTATTTTAAATTTGAAACGTGTAAACATATGGTTTACTAAATCTCCTGTTTCGTATAAAAACACTTATCCTATCATACAACCATTTTAAAATAACGTTATATTAATATTAAATGTTTCTTTCTTCAAAACCAATGTACAATACATCTACTATATATTATATATACATATACTTTCAGGCCAGAAAAGGAATTTTGATGAATATATCTTTTGCCTGAAGAAAAATTCCTTAATTTTTCCTTGATTTAAATACAGTAAATGAATACAAGTTCTCATTAATTAAGCTTAAATATCCTTGTAAACAAAATTTTTTATTTTTTACAGAAAGTATATTTATAATTGATTTCAAAATAGTTAATAGATTTATTAATGCTTGAATCTAAGTATTAAATAACATCATTAATAAAAAAAATTTATGTATTTAGAATGATTTAAAGAGAAAAAATATATATATATAATCGTTACGCTAGATGAAACATGGATTCATTTCTTTTACTTGGAAAGATATGAATCCAAGCACGGAATGAAAATATGAGTTAATNTTATTCTAGGTAAACACTAAATATATACCGAGATGAGTTTCTATTATTACCTCAATGAAACAATACGACCATACCCTTAACAACTGCTCTCTGCAATATAATGCACTACTACTTTCTTGTAACTTCTAACCTTAGTTTATTTTTACCTTAGAGCGTTAAGTAATAAAATAAATACAAACTGAGGTATTATTTTTAAAAATTTACATCACTAAAACATAAAACCTAGAATTTTACTATGTATATATATTGGTTATATTAATATAATTTTAAAGAAGAAAAAAAATTACACTTACCTTAAACATCATTAGTTATTAACAACATTAATCTAAATTATGATATCGTTTTAATCAACAAAAAACCGCAAATGGTATTTATATTTACCCATGATGTCATAAATTTTATATTTTTACTTTTAGTTTAATTTAAGTAAGAAGTTAAAATTGAATTAAAAGTGGATCTAAATCATAAATTTAATTTAGTTGACAACATTTTTTTATTATTATTATTATTTACTGTATTTGTGTTATCATTAAAATATGCTAAAAGTAGTGTTAAAACTGTGTGTTTTTATTTAATTAAATTTTTATTTCCTTTTTAAATTTAAAAATTAAAACTAGACTCGATTTATTATGATCCATTTCGCAAAATGTCCCAATTATATAATATATCAAAATTATGATAAAGTGAGCGATCAATCAGGGATAAATAGTGGGGGTAATTGATAATTGAGACCTTTAAAAAAAATTATATAGGTCTAACTTGCTAACGATGTCATATTAAAAGAATGTTGTCCTCAATATGAAAAAAAAATGACACTGCAGATCTTCAGTAGTTAGTTATAATATACCAATACCATTGTCTTTTTTGTTTGTTTGGAAGTATTAATATTTACTTTTAACGTTTCCATATGTGTTCGTGTAAAAAAGACGAATTGCAAGAGTAGAAAAAAATATTTTTTCGGAGGCGACGACATGCACGCTGGCCAGTTTTTATACAGTTTAAGGTCGACACAGTCGGAGATGTCATCTGAAAGAAAGTAAAAACCGGTTCGCCTTATGTACCCCATTCTGTCACTCTTACTTATTCAGCCATTCATAAAATACGTAATATATATTGAATTTTCTACTTAAACTATAATATATTATATTGAAATTGTTAACCTTATGAATTTACAGTTAAAAATTTGATTCAACTAAAGTATTTTAAATTTGAAACGTGTAAACATATGGTTTACTAAATCTCCTGTTTCGTATAAAAACACTTATCCTATCATACAACCATTTTAAAATAACGTTATATTAATATTAAATGTTTCTTTCTTCAAAACCAATGTACAATACATCTACTATATATTATATATACATATACTTTCAGGCCAGAAAAGGAATTTTGATGAATATATCTTTTGCCTGAAGAAAAATTCCTTAATTTTTCCTTGATTTAAATACAGTAAATGAATACAAGTTCTCATTAATTAAGCTTAAATATCCTTGTAAACAAAATTTTTTATTTTTTACAGAAAGTATATTTATAACTGATTTCAAAATAGTTAATAGATTTATTAATGCTTGAATCTAAGTATTAAATAACATCATTAATAAAAAAAATTTATGTATTTAGAATGATTTAAAGAGAAAATATATATATATATAATCGTTACGCTAGATGAAACATGGATTCATTTCTTTTACTTGGAAAGATATGAATCCAAGCACGGAATGAAAATATGAGTTAATCTCTATATATATGAGAAAGTTCATCGTGGTCTTCTGTTTATAAATCCATGACACGTTTATTTCACTTCCAGAAATATGTCACTTTGCATATGTCATCGATAAAGTGAAATAAAAAGTAATAAATTATTTAACAAACATGAAATAACTATTTTAAAATTCTCTCGGGAAGCTTTTCTTGTCGTATTTTTATTAAATTATAGTATTATTTATGTAAAAATAGTGATTCTCTATGTATATTTCTATATAGTAGTTGCAACCATATGAAAATATCCTTTAAAAATCTTCTATGACCGCATTAAATCAATGTGAAATGTAATGCTACTCCTACTCTTATCTCATTTTCCAATATGTGACATATGGCGCAATAACTGATTTTTTTTTTGGTGCATATTTCCTGTTTGAATGTGAATTTTGTGATGCGATGAACGTTCCACGTTCTACCAATCTCAATCGAAACATTATCGGTTTAATATGGATTATGTTATATATTATTACAGTTACGATATATCTTTACAATGCTGTTTATAAAGGTGTTACTAATAAAACTGACAGTAAATTATATAATTTTCGAAAGTTATATTTTAAATATTTGGTGTTTGTATTAAAATTATACAATTATAAACTGTCGAATACGAGAATACAGTCGACCCCCCTATAACACTGTTGATTATCCCGTTTTATATGAATTCCATGTTGGACGACTCACTTAGATTTTACAAACACGTGAGCCGTTTACAGCCCGGCACACGTATTTGCAAAATCTAAGAGAGTCGTACAACATGGAATTCATATAAAACGGAATAATCAACAGTGTTATAGGGGGTCGACTTGTATATATAAACACAAATATTTAATTGAATTTGTACAATTGTTAAAATGTCGTGAGCATGACTTTCGGGTAGTGGATTAAATTACTACCATTTAAATGGTTCGTAATGGAAATTTATATAAAAACGAGTTGTTTTATGAACGTTTCATATCTCATGTATCCAAATTTGAAAGTCGCTTCAAAGAATCGTGGTATTGGCAAATTTAGAAGACTTAACGGAATCAACAGCAAATAAAGTTGTGATGTGCAGAAAAAGTCCTGCGAAGTCCTATTTTCATATTGTCAACATAGGCTCTGAAATGTTTGCAATAACATATTAAAAAATCACGAGTCACCTTCTGCCACCGTCACAGATATTAGCGACTGACTGAATAAGGGCGCAGTTGGCTAGCGTTAGATTGGATCGGATTGGATTTAATAAAAGGCAACGCAATACATGGCGATCTATCAAGGAGGAAATGTTTCTTGGGAAGATTTTCTATGGGAAAATGACTCCTATTTAGATGTAAAAGAAAACACTCTGAAAACTTCACATGGAAGCCAGTTGGTTAGGTGAAAACCAACGCCTAATTAACGGTGTTCAGTGTACCAGTTATCCACACAATCACTGATGGCCCTGGCCAGTGTTAATATTCATGACACGTATTGCTATCTTGTTCTTTCATTACGTTCCACCATCCCTCTTTTTACTTTCAAGTTTAAACTTGAATTTGTGTGAACTGGACACTAAAAATAGCTTGGCTCTGTATATACAAAGCTATCCATGGGACCTTATTCATCCATACATCCATGGATCTGTAAACTACTAATCTTTCAGTGTATCAGGATGCTATACAAAAATTACAAAATGAATAATTTATTAAAATATTTAATTAAAGAATAATCAGTTTTATATTCGGTTTGTTAAAATTTCTTAAAATTAGAGGAAATTTTTAAAATCTTTAAACAAAACGAGAATCACAGATTAATCAGTTAAATACAGTAATATATTATTTAAGAAAGTAAGAATAAGAATTAGAGAATAAGTTTATAA